GGGAAACACCTCTTATCAACAGGGTGCCTGAATGAAATGTAATTGTATACCTAACCCTTAACTGTACCCCACAAAACCGTAATAAAAAATATTAAAAAATAAAAAAGAATCTATCTGGAGGTATACAATGTCCACCTGTTCCTCAATGGCAATATTAATTTTGGTCACTTATCAAGGTTTTGTCCACTTTCTTCACTATATAAGTTCTGTTTTATTTTCCCCTGGTAACTAATAAGCAGCCTTGTAATGAGAACTTTCACACCATTGAAACATCCTGCTCCTTTTCAAAATTTCTTACTAGATTTAAAATTTCTATATTATTCTTACCTGATCCAATCTTTACTACAATAGTTGTCAAATAATAATTTTCCGACTCTAGCACTCATTCCATGGTTACCAATTAGCATTCAACATGTAATTGAGGACAAGAGTCCTCCCTTCTCTGTCTATCTATTTAATCTATCTGCCTACCTATTACTGGTGTGGACTCATAAATTCATTTTTATCATTGGTTTATAAATGATTATTATATATAATTACTTTGCTGCTCATATTATAAAATATTTGGCCAGTGGAAGCCCTTCAAACTGACTCCTATGCAAAGAATGAGACATGACCTCATCATTTTGTTGAGTAATTCCTTAAATTCTGGCATAACAAAATGTTCCAGACTCATCTTGCACCAACCCTGCTCCTGTTCTAGAATCATCTATTGTTCTGGGAGAGCCATGGCTCCTTTAAGTTGGAAAGGATATTAGAGACCAAAATCTAAATGTTAATGTGTTCATTGGGTTGTCTTTGTTTCTGACTGCTTTTTAGCAGTCAGAATTAGGAAATATATGCTTATAAATACAAATAAATAAATATATATTCATATGCATACATACATATATATTCTGGTGCCACCATATACATACAAATGTATATTTTAGAATCATGAGTTCACACTAATACCTCTAATTACCAATACATGTTGTCTATAGGGCATTTTATTGCTTTCCCAATTCTATATGTGTATGTCTCTTCCTACACAATTGAAAACCCTGGTCTTCCTAGTCATCAACATATATATATATTTGTTTTCTTGTCATATAATACATCTAAAATGGCTTCAGAAACACCTCAGGAAATTGGTCTGAGCAAATATTTTAGGGGTGAAGACCTCAAAAACACAGACAGCAAAAAGCAAAAATAAACAAATAGAATTACATCAAGCTAAAAGGCTTCTGCACAGCAGAGAAAACATTCATCAGAGTGAAGACACAACCTGCAGAATGGGAGAAAATATTTGAAAACTATTCATCTGGCAAAAGATGAATAACCAGAATATATAAGGAACTCAACTCAATAGCAAATAATACATGTAATCTAACTGAAAAATGAGTGAAGGACATAAATAGATATTTCACAAAAGAAGACATAGAAATGGCCAACAGATGTATGAAAAAATTTACAGCATCACTAATCATCAGGAAAATGCAAAAAAAAACTGCAATGAAATGTTATCTCAACTCAGTCAAAATGACTATTATCAGAAAGACAATAAGAAAGGCTGGCAGTGATGTGGAGAAATGGAAACACTAGCGCATTCTCAGTGGGAACATAAGTTAGCACCAGCACTATGGAAAACAGTATGGAGGCTTCTTGAATAACTAAAGTAGATCTATCATATGATCCAGAAATTCTACTTATGGGTATATATTCAAAAGAAAGGAAATCAGTACATCAAAGACATATCTGCACTCCCATGTTTATTGTAGCACTATTCACAATAGATACAGAAGCAACCTATATGCCCATCAATGAATAAACAGATAAAGAAAATGTGTATACATACACAATGGAATACTATTCAATAATTTTTTTAAAGAATGAAATTCTTTCATTTGCAGCATTATGGATGGAACTGGAGGACATTATGTTAAGTGAAACAAGGTAGACACAGAAAGACAAATATCACATAATCTCATACATGGAAGCTAAAAAAGTAGCTCTCATGAGGTTAGAGAGTAGAATGATGGTTATCAGGGACTGGAAAGGATGAGGGGGAGGGAAAAATGATAAGAGTTCGATTAATGCATACAAAAATACAGTTAGAAGAAATACGTTATAGTGTTTAACACCATAATAGGGCAATAATAGTTAGCAATAATTTATTGTGTATTTAAAAATAGCAAGAAAAGAAGATTTAGAATAATCCCAACATGAATAAATAATGTTTGAAGTGATAAATATCCTAATTATCCTGATTTAATCATTACACATTATATGCATGTATCAAAATATCACATGTACTCCATAAATAAGTACAATTATATTAGTAAAAGGAAATAAAATAAAAATAAATAAAATTTTCTGGAAAGAAAAGTAAAATAGTTTCAGAATTGCCTCATCCATCTTGCTACAGCAAATAAATAAACCAAAAATGAATTCAGGATTTATTTGCAATTCTTCTCCTCCACCCTCACCACAAGGCAATGTGTATAATCAAATATGGTGTTTATAATTTTGCTAAATTTTGGTTGCACTTCTAGAAGTTCCTACTCAGTATAGGGTCCTATTCTGAAAGGGAATTTTGGCAATTAGTTTTGAGAATTCATTTGCCCCTACACCATTCTGTATCCTTTCAGAAGTTTTTAAGGAACCCTTACATTTATCCGCTGGTTATTAAAGCAAAATCTCTTCCAGTTTCAGCAGCATTTCTAAAATTGGCCCACTGTGCTTCCCAGTAGTTTCCTGTTGACTATCTGTGGATGTCTAATTCTAAGTTTCTTCAGAGAAACTGTTGTTTCTCTCTACTTCCTCCCAGATCTTGAGGTAATACAGGTCTTGTTGCTAAGGTTGATTTGCTGCCATGTCTTGCATTTTGGACTTCATGGAAATACTGTGTCACCTAGCTTTGTTGGTTTTGCTATAAAATTGCTCTATATAATGTAGATATTCATGGAAGTTCACAGAATATGCTGCCACAATCACAATCTTCCCAGAATGATTTCTGTATATTTCTGTATTTCTTAAATGTTTCTGTTATATTTCATTAAGTAAAATCCCATAATAGCATTATAGCACATTGTTTAACAGTGTGAGTTTTGGAATTACACTGCACAGATTTAAATCCTAAGCTTAGCAATTTCTGTCTGGGTGACTTTGGGCAGATTTTCCCAACCCCAGTTTCTGCAGATGCAAAATTATAATTACAATGCTAACTTACAGGCATTTTGTAGAAGTGAAAATGGGTAAGGGTGAATTCTTTCAAGGTTTCAAAGAAAAGATCATTTTTGGCAGCTTCAGCTTTTCCAGAATGGAGAAAAAATATTACCAAATTCATCTCTTGAAACAGACTCGGTCCTGTATGTGATTGTAGGAAAATAGAAACAAACATACATAATTATAAAAATCTTCATTGGAAAACAAAAATACTAATTTAAAAATACATATTCTTAAATGCCCCATCACAGTCAAGAGAATTCCTATACGCAATTACTCAGCCTCTCTAAATCTCATGATACAGAAAGAGTTCTCAGGAAGTGTCACCTCATTTAATAAATATCTCAACTGAGCAAATAACTTTTAGAATGACACAGAAGAGAGTGTGATATTACTGCTTGAGGTTTTATGAGAGGTATTGCTATGGGGACATCTAATTGGCTTTGAAGGATAAGTAGGGGTCTACCAGGAAAAGAATTGGTGGGAAGAGAGTGGACATTGGAGCACAGAAACCAGTGGCCTGAAATGCATCTTTCTTTCCATTCCTGGCTGTTTCCTTTATAGTCAGACATATTTTCCGGAGCCATATTCATCCAGCTGGCCTTGGGATTGGATCTTTACCTGGCAATCTTCATTCTCTTGGCCATCACTGCTATTTACACAGTCACTGGTGAGTTTATTACACATTTTGTTCATTCACATTGTCTTCGACTGATCCCACTCCAACCTGCAATTAGCAACCTCAGTGTTAGCCTTGTCACTGCTGAGATAAAGACACCATTCATTTCCACTATAAAAGACAGGCAGGGCACCCAACTAGAGCAGATAAAACATAATCTTCCCTATTAAATGTGAGCACCTTGATGGAAGAAAATGATGTGGGAGGTGGGGTTGGGAATTGGTGATTTTGTTCAGTTATGTGTTCAATAACTAGATTGGCATTTAGTATTCAGCATATCAACTCCATGGAAGGTTGGGATGCAATAACAGCTCAGATATAAGACTGGCTAATGCAAGGTGAGGTTCAAATGAACACAGGATGCCAGGGTGTGACCATGGGCTGTGAACGTTACAGTCAAGAGAGAAGAACTGGAGCAGTGGGTTGGTGGCTGGGAGAAGGTGTGTGGCAATAGTCCAGGCAAGCTCTCATGAATCAAGTGTGATGGTGCAGTATCTCATCCATACTACTAACTTGTGAAAATTTAACTATACAAAAATACAGAAAAATAATAGCTAAAACAATCATGACAGTTCTGGAGCCATTTTCATACACTGAGCTATCAACCTAAAATAAGTGACAGAGAAAACTCCAAAACAAAGAGCTTATTTGGGAATAACAAAGGATTGTAATCCGGGATATGTATGCTATGGTGATCACAGGCACATCCAAGGGAGTTGGAGCAAAGGAAAACCTTTAAAGACAAAGAGGAAACTTCCAAATAAGCTATTTTGAAGCAAAGACTATTGATTATGGAGCTAGTTGCAGGTGGAGGCACTTGTTTGTTGGTAGTACTGGCTAAAAGAGCATCTTCATAGAAGTGGCTTAACTAGAAAGTTACAGTTGTGATCATCTCTTGTTTCTGTGACAGGCATAGTTGTGTGAGGGCCCTATCATTATGTCCTCTGGCTCCATTTTGTTGGGGTTTGTCATAGGTGACACTATTTTAGTAGAGATAACTTTCACAAAGCAAATATTAAGGGAGATGAGGGCATAAATCTCCCATTTTCAAGATCAGTCTTCTTTCCCCATGACCCTTTCATAAAGAAAATACCTTGTTGGCCAAGAGTCTTGTGAGTCTAGACTTGAAAGACAAGTCGGGTTTGTTTTTTTGGTTTTTTGGTTTTTTGGTTTTTACAACATTGCAGCAAAACTCAAGTCAACAACTGTATTTGGTTTTGAATTAAGGAAACAATAATATGCTCCAACACTAGATCAAAAAATGATTTTGCTAGATTTTTTTAGAGCCATTATATTGTGTCAAATAGGGTTGAATTGAGGGATCATTAGGGAAAACTTTCATGGTGTTAAATGTTTGCTTTTTACCCTATTTAATATTTAAAACTTCACACAAAGATGGAGCTCCACTATAATTCATAAAAATTTTGAATCAAGAAGGAATTTCCCTATTTCTCCTATTTAGGAGAACCAATGAAAGACACAAATACTGAAGAGATAATGACACCAGGTCAAATTTGTAGCTCAAATAAGAGCTTCTGCTATGTTTTCTGCTGAGTCATTTCCAGGGTTTGGGTGAAAAAGAACCCAGAGGTGAAGGAAAATACATGAATAAACATGGGGAAAAAACCTAATTCTTTTCTTTCTCTCTACAGGGGGCTTGGCCTCAGTGATTTACACAGATACCCTCCAGACCTTCATCATGCTGACTGGCTCTTTTATTCTCATGGGTTTTGGTAAGTGAGGACAGTATGTGTGGTGCCCAGGGACTGGAAATCATAGGACTTATTTCTTCTGTTCAGTCTGTCTGCTCTATACTGCTTCTTCCCAGTTCTATCTGGTCACATTTTCCAGTCATTTATATAATCTCCATCATGAAAATGTGTGCCTAACTTCTCTCCTGCTATATTATCTTAGTATAAGGACATGAGGGAAAAGAACTTTACTTTCTTTTTTTAAAAATATTGCTTATGTAAATTATCATGCTTAATTTTAATTTTAATTTATTTGTGTTTAGAACAGACAAAATCAATACCATTGGATTATTTTACAGACATTTTGGTACATTGAATTCAAAGCCTAGAAATCATCTGTTCCATAGAATTTTTATGAAATGAAGGATTAAATATTTGGAAAATTTCAGAGACCAGAATATTGACCTCATTATGATGGGTGGAAATTCATTAAAATATATTACTCAATCTGTTGTTAGAATACACAAACATGAGTTGTATTTTCCTGAGGATTCTTACTTATTAGTTTCATCAGTTAGTTCATTCTCTTGATTACAACATGCCAAGATGAATCTAATATATAGAGTGCTAATTTTTGTTTTCTTTTACTGTGGTATTTATTTATTTTGCATGAGAAATCCATGCACACATTAAAAAGGATATGGGGGGAAATAAACGTCTCTTCCATCTCCTGTAACTACCATGTTGCATCCACTTAAGCCACACTAAATACAACAATCCTGAATATGCATGCTCCTAATCACAAAGCTGGAAGATATTACACATGAAGCAAAAACTGTAAGAAATGCAAAGACAACAAGTATGCAATGATAGTTGACTATTCCAACACAATACATATGCCATTAGTTTCATGTGGCTATTAAAATTAAAATTAAGTGTTTAGTTCTTCATATCCCTAGACACATTTCAGATGTCTAATATGTGGGCCAGTGGCTACCATATTTGACAGCACAGATATAGAGCAGTTCCATCACTGCAGAAACTTTCTATTACACAGTGCTGCTCTGGAGGCCACTGCCAGTACCAATTCCATGTGTATTTTCTATTTAGTTATCCAAAACTTCTTCTTTGGTTTCTGGTCTCACAGATGCACTTCCTGGCATCTGTATGTCTAGGCCACACTCTCCTTTTCTTAGGGTGAGTGGGGCAATTCTCTTATCTCTTAAGGTTCCCCATGTATATTTATTACAAACCATATTTATCTAATCAAAGCAGTTTCCTTTTATTGTCTGTATCCTCCACTTGACTGAGTTCCTGCCTTACGCATCCTTTTGCACATGCTCCCAGCACAATATTTAGCACATAGTAGATCCTCAAATAATGAAGATGTAAACTAATGTCAACTCAACTCTACAATTAGATGATACTCTGGTGAATTTTGCATCATTTAAACCTATACTAAGTAATCCCAAATGTCTGAACTCCTCTTCCTGAATTTAAACGTAATTCTTTTCTGCAACTGACTTGCCTTTCCAGACCCATAGTGGACTGAGTCTCACCATTTTTCCTCAGCACATCTAATTTGCTGCCTCCAGTTTCTACTCCTTAGCTTTTCAATTTTTTGTTGTAACATGAAAACCAGATTATAAGTAACATCAGAACAACCAGGCTCAGAGTCAGGAAGAGAGGTCATTGCTTCCTGTTCCTTTAGGAAGACCTGGGGCTTTCTGAGTGCTAATTCCATTAGGTTCACTCTGTTAGCTCACCTTCAGATTTTTTTCTGCTCTGGATGGTTATAAGACATCAATACCAGTCTGTTGGGCAATAGCTTCATTTTCACCTTAAAGCAAGACAATAAATCAATTTTTTTTTATTTTAAAGATGTGGGGTCCAATTCAGGGTTGGGTATACAAATGTTCATGATGTATGTACCCTTGTTGATGAGGTGTGCCCCCCCACCCCGGAGCAGTTTCCCACAACTGCCAATCCCACCCCTGCCCTCCCCTGGTAGTTTCCCACTACTGACAATTATTTTCCTATAGTATTACAAAAATTGTTCAAAGCCCACTTATAAGTGAGAACATTTGAGACTCAGTTCTATATTCCTGTGATAGGTCATTCAGTATTATAGAGTCTAAGTCCATCCAGGTTGCTGTGAAGTTTATGATTTTGTTCTTCTTTATGACTGTGTAATGTTCCATCATGTATATGTACCACATTTTTTTATCCAGTTCTCTTTCGATGGGCAGCATTGTTGGTTACATGTTTTTGCTATTGTGAACAATGCTGCAATAAACATACGTGTAAAGGTATCTTTTTAATAGAGTGATTTGAGTTCTTCCAGGTATATTCCCAGTAGGGGGATTGCGGGGTTATATGGAAAGTTGATTTTTAGATCATTTAGGAATTGCCAAACCGTTTTCCACAGAGGTTGTATTAGTTTACACTCCCACCAACAGTGTAGAAGTGTTCCCTTTTCCCCACATACTCTTCAGCATCTGTTGTTTTTAAAGTTATTGATGATGGCCATCTTAACTGGAGTTAGGTGGTGTCTCAGTGTGGTTTTAATTTGCCTTTCTTTGATGATGACTAGTGAGACTGAGCAATAAATCAAAAATTTAGCAATCACTGTAAGACAAAAAGTTAGAACTATTTGCTTCATGTACTTTGTGATAGTCAGCCTAGTATCACAGTCATAGCCAGTTGAAGATACTAGAAAGACATGAATCTTGGGAGATGATCACTGTGGATTCCACTAGGCTGATGGAAGGTACTTGTGTACCTCCACCACAAAGTACTGTCTCAGATTTCAGTAAGACATTTCATTTTGTCTGATGCCTTTTCAGCATTTGCTGAAGTTGGAGGTTACGAGAGTTTTACAGAGAAGTACATGAATGCCATCCCGTCCATAGTTGAAGGGGACAACTTGACAATTGACGCCAGGTGCTATACTCCTCAAGCAGATTCCTTCCACATTTTCCGAAATCCTGTCACTGGAGACATTCCATGGCCAGGAATTATATTTGGAATGCCTATTACAGCTTTGTGGTACTGGTGCACAAACCAGGTAAAGTGTGTGTGTGTGTGTGTGTGTGTGTGTGTGTGTGTTCACATTCTTCCTTGTCTCATAGAAAAGCATTTAGTTTCTGTTTTGTACACATACATAGCATTTAAAGAGTCAAATACTTCTGCAAGTTTTGTTATTTTTAAAAATAGCTTTCTGGAGCCTCACTCTCTACCCTATTTCTTGACCCTCAGAGGAAAACACTTTCGGCTCTTTTAAGTACGTGTCTGGGTATTTATTTCTATTTTCTAAATCTTTGTGCTTAATGTGTGGTCTGTGAATCATCAGTACGGACATCACCTTGGACCTCACTAGAAATGAACACTCTCAAATCCTATTCAGACCCATTAAATCGGAATTTGCTCATTAACTTTATGCCTAAGTGGTACAAATAAATGCTTGCCTTGTTCCCTCTTGGTTTTCAAGTTTTAGGATTTTTTTGTTGGCTCCCCATATTGGAAAACTCAGCTCTCTTTCAACTTTCCATTCTCGGTTCTGTACAAGTGCACCATCTGTTCCCCATCCTCCCAATAGATCTAAATCACAATTTTCGAGAGATCAGCATTCAGCGGTACCATTTTAGTGACTACATGAATGTGATTCACAGTTGAACCACATGACAACTTCTGACTAATGTTTCTTTAGTTTTTTTTCCCCCCATGGAATTAATCATTCATTTTTGAAATGAAAATTAATAATTTCAAATTTTCTTGATAATTATTACTCATTAAACACCTACATCTCTGCAAATTGTCAAAATCTCTTCTCAATACTTGCAAACAATCAAGTATTTTACCAATACTTTTCCTCATTTTCTCCTAGGCCCTTTGCCTCTCACAGCCTGGAAGTTTGCCCTCTATGCTTGGTGCCCAACCTTATCAAAGATCCCCTTCATTACTGTCTTTGGGATTCATTTTGTTTTACTATTGGGTTATAGCTCTTTTTCCCAGTATCCCATGTCACTTTCTTTCTTAGATTATAAACTCCAATAACTTCATGAGATATACTTCATAGGAGGTAAGTTTATTGTGGAGTTGCATATTTGAAAATGTCTAAATTCTAACCTTTCTTTAATTGATAGTTTGGCCATGTACACATTTCTATGTTGGAAATAATTTTCTTAAAGTCATAAATCCATTGCCTTCTGGATTCCACTGTTACTATTGAGAAAGCCAGAAGTTATTCTTGATCCTCTGGATGCGACTGCCTTTTTCTCCCTGGAAGCTCATCTTTCCTTCGTCTTCAGTATTCTGAAATTTCACCACAACACACGATTGTGTGGATCTATTTTTGCCCATTGTGATAGGCCTGATTAAACTGTGAGCCTGTTTAATCTACTCATTGATGTTTTGGATAATTTGGGGGGGGGAATTCTTCCTGATTCTCATTTTGTTTTCTTTTGGAGATCTTTTATTTTGGAGTGTTGGTCTTCCTCTGTTGTTTTTACCTTTTCTTCCCATCTTCAATCACTTGATCTTTTTGCTCTACTTCTTCAACTTTATCCACCAGTTTTTCTGCCTTTGTATTTATAACTTCAAAGATCTTATTTTTTATTTTCTGAGTATTCTTTTTTATAGCATCTAGGTTTATTCTAGTTTTTGCCTTTTGAAGTTTCTTCTCTCTGAAAAGTCTCTGTCTACTTCAATCTTATAATTTCACAATTTTTAGCCTGTCTTGAATCAATGGTCAGTTTTATTTTTCTCTATGTAATGAACTTGTTTTCCCAGAACATCTACCAAAGAACACATCATTTAACCATTGATTTGTGGAACCATCTTTATTATTTATATTTCATTTCTGACTATTTAACTTGCCTCCTGTAAGTAGCCTCACATTCACCCTTAGATCTGATGCCTGGTCTTGCTTGCTTGCTGACAGGTCTCCTTTCCTCACCTTCGGTTTGTGTAGTACCTCCAACTGCCTGCTTTTAGACCTCTGCCTAAAAATGATACCTACTCCCCCAGCACTGAATGATACCACCTGTTATCCCTCTAATGGATTGCTTCTCCCAGAAAATTCAACAGAAAAAGTCATCTCTGTTTTCTGACAGTCCTCAAAAAAAAAAAATCAAGAAGTTGTGGCATGATGGGTAGAAATCCTGCTTTGTTACAAAATTCTTAGTTAAGAAATTACACAATTTAAGTAAGAACTATGAAGTTATATGCATTCTTTTTCTCAAGATTGTCATATCTCATTCATAACAAGATGAGATTCTCAGAATATTCTGAAGAAATCTAGAAATTAATGTCTCAGTGTTCTATCCTGATGGCTGCCTGATTATGATGCTTCCATAGCAACTGGATTTTTCAAGGAGGCAATTGTCTCATAATAATAGGAAGATATTGATGATGCCTACAAAATTAAAGACTTACTAATGTAAACCATAATTTGTGGGGGCATCAGTAGTGACAGCTTTTTACCTAAATAGGTACACTACTATTGTAGTGTTGCAGCCTGGGAACTGTAAGCATATTTTAATCATAGCTAAGGTTTATTGACTTTTATGTACCAAAGGTCTACATACATTATACCAAATATTAAAAAAATCCTGAAACAGATAACCCTATTCTATAGGTGAGAAACCTGATGCTCACGGATGTCAAATACTGTGTAAAAAGAATAGAGAATCAAATACTGATCATATGCTAAATTCCATTATTTTCCACTAACCATAGCATCATTTCTGTATTTAAATATATCACAGTTGTGCATATTTGGGGAGTACATGTCATATTTTGATACATGTATACAATGTATAATGATCAAATCAGGGTAATTGGAATATCTATCACCTCAAGCACCTTTCTTTGTGTTGGGAACATTATAATTCTTCTCTTCTAGCTATCTTGAAATATACAATAAGTTGTTAACTATAATTTCCCTACTGTACTATATAATACTAGAATGTTTTTCTTCCATCTAACTATGATTTGTACTCATTAATCAACTTTTCTTCAAGCTCCTCTCCCTTTTTCAGCCTCTAATAACCATTATTCTACTCTCTAGTTACATGAGATTCACTGTTTTAGCTTCCACATATAAGTGAAAACATGCTATATTTGTCCTGTTCCTGGCTTATTGTACTTAACATAATGACTTCCAATTCCATTCATGTTGCTGTAAATGAAAGGATTTTATTCTTTTTCATGACAGAGTGATTGTCAATTGTGTGTGTATAAAATGAAAATCATATTATATATGTCATATTTTTTGTCCATTCATCCCTTGATGGACATTTAAGTTGATTCCATATGTTGGCTTTTGTGAATAGTACCTCAATAAACATGGATGTGTAGATATCTCTTTTATATACTAATCAGAATCACTTATTGTAACATTCCTAAAAATTAATACTCACCTTCCTTTAAATCATCACCTGGTTATTTCACGAGTATGCTGTGTTTTCCCTGCAGGTTATTGTCCAGCGCTGCCTATGCGGCAAGGACATGTCTCACGTGAAAGCCGCCTGCATCATATGTGGGTACTTGAAGCTGCTGCCTATGTTCTTCATGGTGATGCCAGGAATGATCAGTCGCATTCTGTACACAGGTAAGCCCTCAGTCTATACATACTGTCTTTTTTATGTTTGAACTCTGAAAAATGTTTTTAAGATATGGTAAAATTTGGGTACACTAGAAAATTTGTTCTGGATGGAAGTAAAAGCAGAATTCCAGGTAGAGGGGACACCTTGTACAGAGGGTCAGAGGAGGAAAATGGGGCATATGTGGCTCTCTATTTATTTATCTTTTTTATATTGACTGCCTGTATCATTGCAGAATCTTTGAGTCCTGTATTGACAAATGCCTAGGGTTTAAGGAAGTCTAGAGAATATAGCAAAAGAGCACAGAAAGTTGAGGGAGAACTGGGTTAATTTGAGTTGGGTAAGCTGTAGTGGCTGAGTTTGGTGACAACTCTGATGGAGAAGGTGTTTGAGATACAATGTTTCACTTTGGTCAGTCCTTCTGTGATAGCTGGAAACTTGAATCAGGCCTTGGAGTCAGGTTTTTAGGGGTATGTGAATTTCTGAGTCAGCTTAGAGTAACCTCTAATGTTGAAAATCTTCCTCAAAAAATAACTTTCTTTATTATGAAAAGCGAAGGAAATATAATTGAATCTTTCTTGGCTAATCAAGGACTCGTTTTGGTTGGGACTATCCATTAGATAACACTGAATGCACTTCATGTGTCATGTTTTCTCACCTGAGCACCAGTTTATTTCACCGAAATCTTGTTAAGAAGAACATCAAATGACAAACGTCACATCTTATTGCTGCATCACAGTGTTGTTTATAACAGTAAAAAAATGTATAAATATCCATCAAGTAGGGAATGGTCAAAGAAACCACTGTATACCTCCTCTACGGAAAACTGCACACAAGTGACTGAAGAGCATCGCAAAACTTGGGAAAATGCTGAGATTGCTATGTAAATTGTAAAAAGAAAGCTGCAAAATAATATCTTAATAATTACTATAGTTATGCAAAAAAGACATCTGTGGAAAAAGAGTAGAAAATAATAAAACATGGAAAAAAGCTAATGTGCTAAAGTGCCACTGTTCTGGATAATTCTTTATCGGTTTTCCCTATCTTTCATCATAATAATGTCATGATGGTTCTTTTCTTAAGAAAAGAACCATAATGACATTGTGCAACTACCATGGGGGGGCATCATCACACATGAGACAGTCATCCCAATTGACTATCACAAGTGACACCTCTTCTTAAATACAGGGGAAAAAACTAGACTATATGAGACAGTACAGGACCTAACTTGTTGTTGATCTTTGGAGTTCTGTGTTCCTGGAAGAATTTACTCTTTTGCTGATTTTCTGGAGGTTGGAATCAGTTCTCTCTGTTTGTGCTAACATTCTTGCTGGACAACATCTCAAGGGAGCCTCTGCCCCATGGGGGTTAGTGCACAGGAGATAGGCACGAGGATGAGACAATTAGGAGTTTGTGTTCTGGGCAAAGGGAGACCAGAACCACAGTATGAAATTCAAAGTTGAATCTCTTATTTTCAGGTAAATGCCATTCCTCCATTCCCTACCCACATGATCATATAACTTATCTCTTTGTTCAATGGTTATGGGTTGTGTCTGTTTGGACCTCACTGAACTCATCTTTGAATCCTTCTTCAGATAAAGTGGCCTGTGTCATACCTTCAGAATGTGTGAAACAGTGTGGTGTTGAAGTTGGTTGCACTAACTATGCCTACCCAACAATGGTGCTGGAACTGATGCCTCAAGGTAGGAAAATGTCCCTGCTGGAACCACCTCATAGGACTGTCCTTAGATAGGCCTTGAGGAAGAGGGAATGGCATACTTCTTTGTAATTCTTCCTTCCCTTAATTCTATCCAATTCATCACACATTTCTTGAATTGCCAACTCTGTGCTGAGCCTAGAGATTTCATAGACAAACAGATACAGTTTCTGCTTTAAAAAATCCTTACTCCTTCAAATTCAAGACTGTCTCCAAAGTAATCAAGAACATTTAAATGATTTATTTGTCAATAAGAGTTGCTAAATAGCTATAGAACTTATAAACTCACAGGACTAGAGATTAACTATCCTGCTTTCTTTGGGCAAGTGATATCCAAATAACAGATCTCAATCTATGTAACTTACAACTATTTATTATCTACTGTATGTCAAGCACTACTTTGTGCTTAGAAATATCAGTGAAATAGCCACAAAATCCACTCTCCCTTGGAACTCAATATTCTAGTATTGTGAGTTAGAAAATAAAACACACAGAAGAACTGAGTAAATTATTAAGATGCCAGCATTGCTGTGGTGAACAGAAACAGAGCAGATTACGGAACTCAGGACTAACCAGGTGATCTTAGGCCTATCAAAGGTTGCCTAACATTTCTGTGACCTTTCTTCACCTTGACACACATGAGCATTTTCAGGAGAAAGAGCGTGGCTCATAGACACGACACCACATATACCCTTCTCCCATACTGTCTTACTACTAATGGGCAGAGGAAACTGGAGGGTGAAGCTCACATAATTTTCAAAACTCTTGGCTTTGCCCCACCAAAGGCTTATTTAGAAGAATTATTTATTAGACTTTTTCCTCTCCAGTTCTCTAAGTCTTTGGGAATCCAGGAGTTTTCCCCAAAGAAATAACAAATGACAATGTTTCCTCTTTTCTAAAACTAGGTTCCAGCAGATGGTTTCTAAGATTATGTTTAAAACTAAAATTCCATACTGGATTATGCTCAGGTCACTGGGAAATATGCAGAAAACTCCACATTCAAATATGTGTTGAAAAGTACATCACTCAGTCAATATTCCAGTCGATACTTTTGTTTTTGAGTGGCTCTCTGGTTTAGCAAGGCCCTCATTGATCATAGTGTCCAGTCACTAACCAGTGTTCATCCTCTCTGGGCTTCAGGACTACGAGGCCTGATGCTGTCAGTCATGTTGGCCTCTCTTATGAGTTCCCTGACCTCCATCTTCAACAGCGCCAGCACCCTCTTCACCATAGATCTCTACACCAAGATGCGGAAGCAGGCATCGGAGAAAGAGCTTCTGATAGCTGGACGGTGAGGGGATCCTGGCTTTTACTTAAAGTTCTTCAGAGAATTGCAGATATAGATGTGAACTAGCACTTCCTTGCCCTTGGCTTCGGTGGAAGGAGTCATAGCATTCTGGAATAGAGGAAGAAACATTGGAGGACATTTAATTCAACCTGTCTCTTTCCATATACAAAAATTTGAGTCATACTTTTAAAGAAATAACTGCTTTCTCAGACTTCCAAATGCCTCTTATTGTCTCTTATTCCTTTCAGCCTCATACCACCCACCTTCCATCTGTTCCTGCAGCTCTATCTAGTGTCTTAATGGGGTATGAAATTCCCTCCTACTCTAATAGGGTAATGTATTGTCTATAGTAGTGTCCTTGTATATCACATGGGGGTAAATGAATCCATCCACACACTAACACAGAAAAGTACATCAACTGAATTAATTAAATATTGGGTTGTATTAGAAGGGAACAGACTCGGGGAAGAGATTAATTCCAAGAGGCTGCTTGGGGCGTTGTCAACCCAGGGGGCCCTGAGCAGCCTGGGGACCTTGAAGATAGCGAGGTGAGAGGAAACAAGCAGAAAGAATGAATAACATAGTTCCCTTTTTCCCTTTCTTAATTTTCTTTTTTTTTAACTTTTAAATTTTTTTATTTTAAAATTGTTGGGTACATTTCAGGGTTAGGTATACAAATATTCACTGTGCAAGTACCCTTGTTGATGAGGTGCACCCCCTTCCCCAGGCAGATTTCTGCTACTGTCAATCCCACCTCCCTGTTCCTCCTCCCCTCCAGTTTCCTGCTACAGTCAATCTTTTTCTTATAGTATTGTGGTGATTGTTCAAAGTCCACTTATGAGTGAGAACAAGTGATACTCAGTTTTTTATTTCTGTGAAAGATCACTGAGTATTATAGACTCTAATTCCATCCAGGTTGCTGCAAAGTTCATGATTTCATTCTTCTTTATGGCTGTGTAATATTCCATTGTGTGTATGTACCACATTTTTTTATCCAGTCCTCTTTTGATGGACAGCATGGTTGGTTCTGTGTTCTTGCTATTGTGAACAATGCTGGGATAAACATACGTGTGCAGGTATCTTTTTTTATCTTCCAGGTATATTCCCAGTAGTGGGATTGCAGGGTCGCATGGGAGGTCGATTTTTAGAACATTTAGGAATTGCCTCACTGCTTTCCACAGAGGCTGTACTTACTAGTTTGCACTCCCACCAACAGTGTAGAGGTGTTCCCATTTTACCATATCCTCTCCATCATCTGTTATTTTTTGAGTTATTGATGATAGCCATTCTGACTGGAGTTAGGTGGTATCTCAGTGTAGTTTTAATTTGCATTTCTTTGATGACTAGTGAGGCTGAACATTTTTTCATGTATCGGCTGCTTGTATGTCTTCTTTAGAGAAGTATCTATTCATATCTTTTGCCCACTTTGTAATGGGGCTGTTTGTTTTTTTCTTTTCAGCACATTTGTGTTCCTTGTAGACCCTAGATGTTAGGCCTTTGTCAGACATGGGGTTGGCAAATATTTTTTCCCAGTCTATGGGCTGTCACCCTGCTCTTTTGATGGTTTCTTTGACTTTCCAGAAGCTTGGCAGTTGGATGAGGTTCCACCTGTCTATCTTATCTCTTATGGCATGGGCACTTCAGGTTTTGATCAGGAATTGGTTACCAGTTCCAATTTCCAGAAGAGTGTCTTCTGCATTTTCTAAGGTTCTTATAGTTTGAGATTTTACGTTTAGGTCTCTGATCCATAATACCTTCATAATATTCAGATAAAAGTATATTTTCATAATACTTTGTAAAATGTTTAAAAACATAAGTATAACACACATACAGAAAGCAGGTAAAACATAAATATACATCTCAGTGATATATCACAAAATAAGCACCATGTAACCACAAATCAAGTCAAGAAATGAAAATTTGAGCAACCAGAAACTCACTTGGACTCTGTCTTTCCAAAACTAACCCCTGGGACTTTTAACTTTATAGTTTAATATTTTCCAGTGTCAGACTATTATAAATATAATAACCTCAAATATATTTTTGATATATGGCTTATTTTGTTCATGTTATGTTTATGACATTCAGCCATGTTGCTATATGTAACTGTAGTTTATCCATTTTCTTTCAATATGATATTCCACTGTACTAACACATTAGAAATAATCTACTCTACTATTCATGGACATTTTGCTTGAGCATTTTTGTCTATTTCCCTTGATTCATATGGGCACATATTTCTGTGGAGTAGATTGCTATGAGTGTGCATATCTTTCGCTATTGGTCCTTTAAAATTTAGTATCTCTGACTAGAGAATGAATGTGAGAAGAGTTCTTACGAGAAAAGAAATTGGTGATGATACTTCTAAAAATGATCAAATTGCTGTTGATAATAATTTTTTTTCCTCTTGTTTTTATTTTTTCTTCATTGGATCCCGTCTTTTTTTTAATTATAAAGATATGGGGTACAATTCAGGGTTAGGTACACAAGCGTTGATTATGCAGGTACCCTTGCTGATGAGGTACCTCTCTCCCCTAGCAATTTTCCTCAACTGCCAATCCCACTCCTCTCCCATGACAGTTTCCCATTACTGCCAAATGCTTTCTTATAGTATAATTGTTCAAGGTCTGCTTATGAGTGAGAACATATGGTACTCTGTTCTTTGTTTCTGTGATAAATCACTGAGTATGATCGACTCCAAATCCAGCCAAGTTGCTGCAAAGTCCATATATTTGTCCTTCTTCATGGCTGCATAATGTTCCATTGTGTATATGTACCACACTTTCTTTATCCAGTCCAGCTTCAATGGGCAACGTGGTTGGTTCCATGTTTTTGCTATGTGAATAGAGCTGCAACAAACATATGTGTGCAGATATCTTTTTTACAGAATGATTTGAGTTCCTTCAGATATATTCCCAATAGGGGAATTGCTGGTTCATATGGAAGGCCAATTTCTAGTTCTTTCAGAAATCGCCACTGTCTTCCAGAGATGTTGCACGAGTTTGCATTCCCACCAGCAGTGTAAAAGCATTCCTTTTTCTGGGCATCCTCACCAGCATCTGTTGTTGTTTGTTGTGTTAATGATGGCCATTCTTACTGGGGTTAGGTGGTATCTCTGTGTGGTTTTGATTTGCATTTCTCTGATGATGAGTGAGGCTGAGCACTTTTTCATGTGTCTGTTGGCCACCCATATATCTTCTTTTGAGAAGTGTCTGTTCATGTCTTTTGCCCACATTTAATGGGGCTATTTGTTTTTTTCTTTTTGGCATGTTTGAGTTCCTTGTAGATCCTAGATGTTAGGCCTTTGTCAGACATACAGTTGGCAGATATTTTTTCCCAGTCTGTGGGCTGTCTCCCTGCTCTCTTGATGGTTTCTTTGGCTTTGCAGAAACTTTTTTAAGTTTGATGAGGTCCCACTTGTCTATCTTATCTCTTACAGCATGGGCACTTGGGGTTTTGATCAGGAATTGGTTGCCAGTTCCAATTTCCATAAGGATATATCCTGCATTTTCTAAGGTTCTTATAGTTTGAAGTTTTACATTTAGGTCTTTGATTCATTTAGAGTTGATTTCTGTGTATAGTGAAAGGTAGGGGTCCTGTTTCAGTCTTCTGCATGTGGTTAGCCAGTTTTCCCAGCACCATTTACTGAATAGGTTCTCCTTTCCCCAGTGGTTGTTGTTGGAGGCTTTGTCAAAGATGAGTTGGTTGAAGAATTGAAACTTGGATTCCGGAATCTCTGTCATGCTCCATCAGTCTATGTGCCTGTTCTTGTACCAATACCAGGCTGTTTTGGTTACTATAGCCTTGTAGTAAAGTTTGAAGTCTGGACACGTGATACCTCCTGCTTTGTTTCTTTTGCTAAGGATTGTTTTGGGTATCTGTGGTCCTTTATGTTACCATATGAATTTCTGTATCGTCATTTCCAGGTCTGAGAAGAATGATGTTGGTAACTTAATGGATATTGCATTGAATCTGTAGATTGCCTTCGATACGATGGACATTTTAACAATGTTGATTCTTCCTATCCATGAGTATGGAATATTTTTCCATTTGTTTGTGTCTTCTTGGATTACCTTGAGCAGTGTTTTATAGTTCTCATTGTAAAGGTCTTTCACTTCTCTGTTTAGGAAGATGCCTTGATATTTCCGGGTTTTTGTGTGTGTGGCTATTGTGAATGGAATTGTGCTTTTAATTTGGATCTCTGCCTGCTTGCTGTTAGTGTATAGGAATGCAACTGTCTTTTGCACATTTATTTTGTACCCTAAGACTTTGCCAAAGTCCTTTATCAGTGCAAGCA